ACTTTTGAAGTTTGAAGGTTGAGCAGTGTCAAACCAGGTGAGGAGATGGGAGAAAGAGATAGAAATTAATTCCTTGAGTTCAGCGTTTTTTAAAAAGTCCTCTAATTATTCAGGCCTCCTATGGTATTTTTTGTCCTGCCTGCTGATATCAGCATGTCCTCTACTGGAAGGAGCCAGAAGAGCACGTTATGCATGGAGGTCTAACTCTGCACATAACGTTAGTCTTTCCTTACATTTCAACCATCACACTATTATATTAACCTTGCTAAAAAAGAAAAAAAAAAGAAAGAAAAATCAACTCTGTGCTTTATTTAATGTGACATGGAGATGTTTAGGACTTGTATAGGTGAAAGCTTGGCTGTTCAGCCTGCCCTCCAAAACACAGTGTGCTGACCCGCAGGTGGCAGCAATGAACTGGTAGAAGCAGCCCCCTGACCCAAACTAGCTGGAAAAGTAGAAACAATGTTCATCTCCATTGCTTTTTTTCCCCTCCTGCTTTTGGTGAAAGACTTAAAATTTTTTGTTTGTGTGTGTTTGTTTGGACAGTGCTCGCCCTTTTAGGCAAAGAATCTCTTGCAGTTAGAAAACTCCACAAGACGTGATCAGAAGCTGGCATTCTGTAAGGTACTAGTTCATTGGAATGATACATGGCATCACCATGTAGGGGTGTGAAAATCCTGTCACTGATGAAAATATTTTCATTCTCAAATAGAGAGGGAGAGAGAAAATACCATAGAAGAGCTTGAAGTCTATGAATCCTGCAAGCATGCAAAATGGCAACATTCTGGCCAAATTCAGGTTTTATTCTACCTCAGTTCCAACTCAGGGGAATAGTCTTTGGCCTTTTGTCTTAGTCTTAACTTGTTCTTTGTAAACAGAGTTTGCATGGGTTGCATGAAAGCATGTTTCATCTTCTTCGTCTTGTCTGTATTTCATATATTTCATACATCTTTTTACCTGGATTTGTGTTTGACATTCTCCTAAGATAGCCCGGCCAAAATTATCACACAAAAGGGAGGTTTGAAGACTTCTTTTCCATACAGGAGCAGCACAAACTCTGTGCCACTTAATGCTATTCAATATTTTATGTATTTTATAATATTTTTAATATACATTTGAGATATTTGCATGCCCTCTTCAGAGTGTGCAGAGCATTTTAAATACATAAAATAAATAGCTTAAAAGGAATGTTAGTTTTTGTGATCAAACAAGTTATTTGTAGTAGCAGAATGGAGAGTTCTTATGCATAAAAAATTACTGTCTCTGCTGCGAAGTAGAACACAAAATATTCATGAGCAAGCAGTTTTCAAAGGAGCACAAGGCAGATCTGTTGATACGTAGACACAATTAAATATCAGTGGGAGCTGGATTCTATCTGATATGTTAAATACTCAGCCAGGGATATGATTTTAGAGAATGGGTTCTATAGCAGATTAAGAGGAGTCTTTTGACTTTTACTCTCATTGCTTCCACTTAGAAAGTTCTTGGAGTTTGTTGCATTTCAGCATTTTCTCAAATGCTTTGCAGTATTTTATCAAATACTTCACAGTTACAGCTAAAGTGAGGTGGAAATGATAGACTTAAGCAGGAGTTTCCAGGAGCACTATATTTCAGTTGTGCTATGGCATAAAAAAGATGATTTTGTAGGATGTTAAAATGAACAAATGATTGAGCATAGTCCAGGAATTAGTATCCTAATTCAGTTGCTTACACATAACATTATCAATAAAGATTGCAGTGATACTGCTGAGCACTTGGCTTTACAAAATTATCGACACAAATAATATAAATTACCAAGACTTAATTTGAAATTCAGAAGTAAAAGTTTTAGCTATTTTTACAAATACAGGCAATTAAAACTATAAATAGTGACAATAATCAAGCCTATGGAATACTACCTTGGTTTGTGCTTTAAGTAGAAATTAGAGAAGTTGAATCCATAATTCAGGGTCAATTTTGGAGTGATAGATTTGGTATTATATAGCTGGAAACATGCAAAGCATTTTAATTTATTAAAGCATTGTGTTGTGAGCAATTTGTTTAATAAGACAAGACCTACAGAAAGCATATGCCATTATTATTACTCAAATCCAATAAAAGATAGATTTTCAAATTATTACCATATGTGTGTAGGAGTTGCTTTGCACTGTAAAGTTATTTTAGATACCAGAATAATTTGTTTCATATTTTGAGTTCCTCTCTGTTAAAGTGTCCCTTTAGATTTGCTGCTTTGACTATTCTGTGATATATAATAATAATAATAATAATAAAAAAACTTTACAATAAAAGAAATTTAACAAGTAATTGAAACTGCAGATTGTGTGCAAAAGAAGAAATGGTATTTGCAGGGACATTGTATGAGTGCAGTAGCTGTAGGGAAACTACTATAAAACTGTTTAAATACACTCCATTTTCCCCCTCACCATCTTTAACCACCGTTATAAAAACCTGAGAAAATAAAGCAATGTGACCATATGACAAACATTCTAACAGATAAATTAATATACTATTTATCAGTTACAACAAGTTACAACTTGTTGCCTGTATTTCTCTTATAGTGTCTTTTGACTTAGAAATTTAGGGAGAGAATTTACATGGAAAACTATTGGAAAAAGCTGTTCTGTATTCCTGTGCGTTTCATAGTGAGCAATATTTTTCTTTAGAGCACAGCAGAACAGTAGCTGGAGCAAAGGTGAGTTGCCCCTGGTTATGCTGCTTTCCTAAAGCAGCACTTTTGTCCCTGAGCAGACTTGAAGGGCATCAAGGCTAGAACAAATGTTGATCAAAATAAGTGCAGATTTATTTGAAGGCAGACTTCACAGGAACATTCATGATAGCCTGTGCCTGGCCACTTCAGGACTTCATTTTTATTAACCTGCCTTATAAATAGGCAGGGATTAATAGGTGAGATATTTTTGTTCAGTCCAACCCTTGACTTAAAATAGGGTTACTACAGCTACGAATTATAACTAGCTAAGGTGCTCTCCAGGATATCTACAGATCTCTGACAAGTCATTTCAGAGCTCCACAGTACTTGAGTAACCAAAACACCTTTTGAAGTTATTTAATTCATGGTTTCCTGTAAATGCTCAAATCTCTTTGATGATAAATCTGTTAAATTGATCTAAGTCGAGATTAATGACTAAAACACCAATGTTAAACTAAAATGTCCCATTAGGTAGAAAATTTGATCTCATAAGTTCTAGACAACTATATTATTTTACTTGTAGACTGTTCTGCTGAATAAAGTCCTTATTTCTAACTGCAGCCAGTCATTGCAGTTTGGGGTCATCAGCAACTTGCTGAGGGAACATCTGCTCCGTTTGTCCATGTCATTGATGAATATGTTGAATAAAACTAGACCTAATACTGACCAACCCCGGGGGGACCGACCTATCTATAGGCCTCCAACTACACTGCACTGATGATCACAATCCATTGAGCTCTGCCATCCAGCCAGTTCTCAATCCATCTCACAGGCTGCTCCTCTGACTTGCTGATTTTGCCTATGAGGATGTTTTGGGAGACAGTGTTGAAAGCCTTGCTAAAGTCAAGGTAGACAACATCCACTGCTCTCCTCTCATCTACCCAGCCAGTCATCACCATCATAGAAAGCTATCAGATTGATTAAGAGTGATATCCCCTTGGTGAATCCATGCTGATAACTCCTGATCACCTTATTGTCCTCCACATGCTTAGAGAAGATATCTGAAATGAGCTGTTCCATCATCTCTCCAGGGATGGAGGTGAGGCTGAGCGGCCTGGGTCCTCCTTTGTGCTGTTTTGGAAGACTGGAGTGACACTGGCTCTTTTTCAGCTTTCAGGCACCTCTCCGGTTCTCCATGGTCTGTCAAAATTGTTGGAGAGTGGCCTAACGTGTCTGGGAATTAGTTAAACAAATCTTTCAACCTGTCTTTACCTTATTTTATCACGGCTGTATCTGATACCAAGACAGTGTCTGCCATAAGACGTTTCTAACTATGGAATAAGAATGTATTACTGGCCTGCGTATGTCATCATCTTGTAATTACAAAAATAAATGTAAACTCTAAAATTAATTATATCATTTTAAAAATAGAAGGAAAGTTAGTTTTCTGTTAGCTTAACTAACAGCTTTGCTAGCTTTCCTTTAGTACTGTGTTCCTCTTCTGATTCTGGAAAACCTTCAGGATAAGTCAAATGTTGGCAGCACTTGCCCTTTTGTCCCATAATCTGTGAAAATACCCTTCTAAAGTGTTGTGCCTGCATGGTACGTGTTCAGATGTGCTCAGATCACCGTGAGTGAGGTTTTCTAGGAGGAAGATCAGTCAAGTACAGTTCTTGGAAAATACAGCGTTATGGACTAGGGCATAGCTAATGAAACACTAATTTGAATTGATCTAGATCAATCTCGGGGAATCTTCTGGAACCATGGGTCCTTTCAGAAAGATATTTCAGGGAGGAGCCAGGCTATGTTTTAAACCAGTGCAGTAGCTGCAGCAGCAGCAGTCAAAGAATAAGGGATGCTGCGGATGCCACCTGAGTCCTTCCTGCTGCATCCACTGTTTTTTTCCATCTGATTAGTGGTTTGCTCTACTATATCCTTATCTGTTTAGCTAATTCATGTTCCTGCATACTGATATGAATATCTCTTCTTCAAAAAAATGTAAATAATAACTTCACAATAAAAATGGATACCGCTGTATTCTGTTTGTTTGTTGCGGTCATTTCCTGTGCCTGTCTTGTTCATACGGGATCTGAGTTATTTGGATGATGTTTATTTTGTCTTAGTAAGCTGTCTAACACAGATTCCTCCTTAGTTGTGATTGTGTTAAGTAAGACTGATATTCATAAACACATATGAATAAGTATTATTGTTTTGTTTTGGCCAAAGAATCTTATTAAATTGTATTTATAGAATTTTGTTATAGCCAGGTTAATAGAAGCAGCATTAAAAAATCAATATTATAGTTACTTGTGTGTTTCTCATTTCTTAATGAGCTTTGTTTATTTTTGTGCAGAGATCTGAGGGGTGTAATAGTAACTCTGAGTGACAGTGGGCATCTTCAGTGTTCCTACCTGGGAACTGATCCTTCACTGTTCCAGGCGCCCAAGATTGAATCTAGGGAAATAAACTATGAAGAACTTGATGCTGAAATGAAAAAACTTCAGAAAATCATCAAGGAAGCCACAAAAACACAAGGTATACTCCTCCCTTTTCTGTACATACCTTTAACTGCCTGGCTCTCCTTTTTGCCTTTAAATTGCTGTATACTTAAATTATGTTTTACATTTCTGTAGGAAATGTAATATTAAAAAAAAAAAAAAAACCTTTCTCCTGATGACAAACATACCAACCAAATCACAGACTGTTTAGCTCTTGGATACACACAGTGTATTTGTATTTTCATAATGTCTCTTGGAGCAGGCAAGGTATTTATGTCAGATTGAAGAGAATTCTCACTGGTGCTAAGGTTCAGAGAAAATGGCAGGCAAGGGAAGGGAAGAAAATTTCTGTTATTTCATGCATTCAGTCTAATATACTTATAAGGCTTCAGAAAGAGCAAAAATATTGCCAAGTTCTTTTTTTTTATTACAAACAATTTCTTAAATGTCATGCAATTAACAAAGAATGAATTGTGTTATTGCAACTGTTCTGTTACCTCTTTCAGAAGCAGTTATATGTGAACATGGCAAGAGATATGAAAAGTATTGCACAGAATAACTGATCATGTTAAACTCTGGAATTTACGTGTGTTGCTAATAACTTACATTGCACTTGTTCAAATAATGGCACAGAATTTCTATAAAGATCCTTTAAAGACTGTGTTTTTATAACTTTAGTTTTCAAACAGTACATCTGTCTTGCATTGGGATTCCAGAGCATGTCATTTTACAGGAAACTCTGAAAAAAAAAAAGAAAAAGATTGTAGGCAACTAGAAAGTATTAGTTAAAATATTTTCTAGGGATTATTTAGCACATTCTCAAAATATATGTTGAAAATTATATAATTTGTGTGAAAAGGGGAGCTAGAAAACACATGGTTGTAATCTCTAGAAAAGTCGTAGTTCCTTATCTGCATTCATTAACTTGATTTTCCAAGTCAAAGATCTCTTTGTAATTGCATATAATTTTTCCCATTACTGGTGTGACGGACAAGCATCAGGGTATCTTACTCTAACAAATCCAGAAGCTGGTTATTTAAACATGCACATGTCTAAAATTCCATGATGGGTGGAGTAAATCACTTTGTGAAGAACTTTTCTGTAATTTGCATTTTGTCATGTTGTGCCAAGTACATATATAGGAAGGGAGAGAAGGGGAAGCAGGAGGGAGGAGATGGGGGAGAGGGCCAGGAGAGGAGAAGATGGGGGGAGAAGGACAAAACAGGGGTCCTTTCAAGGGGATGGGAGAGGACAGTCGTGGGGAGAGGTAGGAGATGGGAAGAAAGAGGGAGCACGCAGAAAAAGGGGGGAGATGGGAGAGAGGAAAAAAAAAAAGCCCTGTCCTTTAAACTTCTCTAACAGAATTATACTGTAGTGAGATTGCCACCTTTACTGTGAATATTGCTCTTTCCTCTTTTTTTTTTCCCTTTATTTTTTGTCTTCATTAGAATCTTTTTAAGCTGATCTAAGGTGTCACAGTAATGTTTTCATATGAGATCTTGCCAATGTTTGCTCATGTGAAGAGGTGATCTGAAAAGGTCTTGTTTAATTTTAATCAGATGTAACCTTAGCAGAAAACTTTTGTTAAAACAAAACATGAAAAATGCTATGAAAATGTCATTTAATTTGTGATGCATTACCTTTGCTGCATTTTGGCTTTTTTCAGGTCTTCAGCTGAGTCTTTAAATCTGTTAATCTTGGACAGTTGAATAAAAAACTTTTGAACACAGGTCACGATTCAATTAAATGAATGGTGGTCTTTAAAATGAACCATTGATTTTTCTTTCGTGTATGTTCATGTGTGTGCAGTAAGATCTTGTGGTGTTCTAAATGTCTGCCCTTATATGGTATTAATTTTTCTTTGTTTCATTTTGACGTCCAAAAATGGAAGGTTTTTAGAATTAGCTCATCATATAAAAAAAATGTAGAGTGGTTATTTCCATAAATATGTTTTGTCTTCTGTCCAGTGCTGACCATTAAACTGTTGAACTTTAGTTGCTTTATATTTTTTTTTGCAAAGGAGGATTTACATTATAAAAACTGATGTAATATTTCAAACCCTTCTTTTTTTACTAGTACATTAATTTAAATCTAATGTTACTTGCATCAGTCTGGATAACATAACTGACTAAACTTGAGTGCTTTGGTGCAGTTTAATGCTAACAAAAAGCTGATGCCTCTATGTAAACTTAGGTTATGGTCTCTGTCCTATTTCTAATAGAAAAATATCTGAGGCACCTTTGTCATGGTTTGCTTGAAGAAACAACTTGAAGAAAAAAGAGTTGATAGAGTTGGAAAAGATAGGTATTTTGTTATCCACAAAGGTGGAATGGATTGTGCTGGTTTCTACCATTGGCAAAACCAGTTGTGTGTGTTTGTGTGTAACAGTATGAAACAACACACACTTGGTGGTCTAGGTGTAACAAAATTCTAGGAGCTTTCTGAATGGGCTGCTTTCCTTAATTACTCAGTTGCTATGTTAATTTCTCAATTACTTTAGGAACTAAAAGTTCTTTATTTCCTTTTCTTTTTCCTTCTTCTTCCAGTACATTTAACATTGAAAAGTACTTTTCAGAAAGCTACCAATATTTTTAAAGTTAGGAAACTTCCTTTATCTTTTTTCCAAAAAGGAAAAGTTATTCCTGAAGATACTTACATGTCTTCATTTTAAACCTTGCGACTTTTTTACACATGTAAATTTACATAAGTCTAGCAGTTGTTAGCATTCTTTACCTTGTGTGTAATTCTTGGTATCACCATATTTCAACCAACCTCCATACTTTGAATATATTTTCAATGCAAAGAAATTTCTAAGATGTCTTCTAGTTGCATTACAGTATTTGACACAGTATATTCATCTAATGTATTCATTCTCAATTCTTTAGAAGAAAGTGTGCCGTGAGAGGTATATGGCATGTATTTTATTATAGGTGTATTACTGAATATGTGCAATGAAAGAAAATTTAATTCTTTACAGTCTTTGTGGAATCCTTGAAGTTCACGGGTAGTGGCTGTAAAAGTCTGTTATGAAATTATGATAAATACAAATACTTTATCATCCATAAGACAGCAATCTAGACTGGAATCCAAATCTAAGTTGCAAAATTGAAAGACTTCTCTTCAAAAAAATGCCATTTTCCCCCTTTAATAGTACCTATAATCATGTTAATGATATAAAATTCTAATAAATTTGATGTTGTTGAAATCATTTGATCTTTCTAGAAATGTAACTGAACATTTGTTAAAGGAGAGCTGATTCTATTTTTCTTCCAGATATCTTGCCCAACTCTGAAAGAGAGAGAGATGTAATCGTCATTGCAGACGTTTCACCTGAGTTGGATGCAGAATCTGTATGTACCTTTATAAAAAGGAAAATTTTGAAATATTGATAACCATCAGTTCAGATCCTTAGAAGTAGAAATTAGAGATAAATTGAAAATAAGTCAATAACCATTATTATTTATATAGCAGTTTAGATATGTAAAACACTCTACAACACTAGCAAACACGTTATTTTGAAAAGAGTTATCATGAGAAAGTATAATCTTATGTCAGTGCATTTTAGTATTTTACTAGCTGTTAAGAAATTCTTTAAAAATAGTTTAAACAGAATACATTCTGAAACTGTAGAGACTTCCCCTTGCAAAATGATATATGAGCGTAAAACAAGATAGACTCCATGACCAGTATGAATTTGTTTTTCAATGGAACTGCCTGTTGACATATAAAAATGGGAGCAACAATGACCACCGTAATTTTCTTTTGAAGTTCAAGATATATTATTCTGATTGTAAGATAGTGTGTGGTGATTATAAAGTACATACTGTGGTGTGTATAATCTACTGGCAGTTTGGAAGTCACCTTTCCTTGCCCAATAACAGAAGTAATTTCCAAAATTTGAATAAATATACAGTAAAAAGAAGTGTGCCAAGCAAAACAGTTTCAAATGTTCATATATACATCAAAGTGTATTAGCTTTCCTGACCTTTTGCTATCCTTTTTGCACGCAATTTCAAACAGAGGCATTTTATTTTCAGAAGGAGCTATGAAACATATTTTGTGTATTTTAATCTGTCATCGAGTGATAAGTCCTTTACAGTTAATTCCCTGTTTACCAAGTTGATGCTAGGGAAGTAATATTGCATTCATTGTGTTCACTCATTCATGTGTAATATTGAATTTATTCTGTTTTCATCTTTTCTTCACAGCAAGCCATTGACAGTGAGGTAAAAGCAGAGGCAGTTCCATCAGTCACAGTGAAGGTACTGTGCCTAACTCAGACTGTAGCACTGAATTGGTGGCAAATGTTAACAAACCTGCCTGTTTTCTGTCTGCTTCACTGAGATCACGAACATGAGTAGAATTTCAAATGCAATATATATCTAATTTCTCTCAATATGACAAGTGCCCTTCTTGCAAGCTTTTTTTAAATTAAGGAGTTAGGAATTTTATTTTTGATAGTTTTATGCCTTTTCAGAGAGAGATGTAAAGACTGTTGTGATAACTTTTTTTTTTTTTTTTTTTTTTTTTTTTWYWAMWAAWWRAWYAASAGYT